GAGACGATGGAGTAGCTATATAGTTCTACACTTTGACGAGTGGCTCACTAGGCCAATCCTTGAATGGCAATCACGGCCGCATCTCTCGCAGGAGAATGTTGAAACCCGGTAAATTCTTGATTTTCGAATTGTTCTTTTTGATTCGAGGGCCTCGTTTCGAGTAACTTCTGCCTTTCTCACTCCTCCAAACACTGCTGTACGCCAGTTGGAGCGATGTTCGGCAATGGACTACCATTCGTTTGTTTCAATATTGGCTTCCCTCATGCTTCGTTTGCAAACGTCAATAAATCTCAGGCGCTGTCGTCCAATATGTCTTGTCCCCTCTGCCAACTCTCCATACAGCAGAATCTCTTGGATACGTCCTTCCTCCATTCTCCGTACATGACCTAACCAGCGAAGGCGTCTCTTGATAAGAAATGAGAATATGCTAAACATGTGTGCACGTTCCAAAACCTCCACGTTAGGCACCCTGTCCTGCAAACGAATGCGCAAAATGCGACGCAGACATCTTTGATGGAAGCTGTTGAGTTTCCGCTCCTGACTGGTGTATGTGGTCCACACTTCGCTACCATATAGGAGCGTGCTAAGCATTAGCCATAGTTGCTGCTGCTTTTGCAATCCTGATATTGATCTCTTCATCAACGGAGAGAGAACTAGAAATATTGGATCCCAGGTATATGAAATGATCAACAACCGAAATATTATGACCCTCAATCGATATGGTTGTAGGTGACGGTGCTTCTTGCATCATTACATGAGTTTTCTGTAGACTAATCGAAAGACCAAACTCCTTACAAGCATGTGATAGGCGATTAACCAGCCCCTGAAGACCTTCTTCTGTGTGAGATGTTAAGGCGGCATCGTCAGCAAACAGCAGTTCACGAATCAGCACCTTTTTTTACTTTGGTCTTTGCACGAAGGCGGGCGATATTGAACAGTCTTCCATCAGATCTTGTGTGGACGTACACTCCATCTTCACAGTCACTGAAAGCAAATTGAAGGAGCATCGACAAGAAAATTGAAAAGAGCGTTGGTGCCAGTACACAACCCTGTTTTACTCCGCTGCTAACTGGAAATGACTCAGAGACAGTGCCATTGAAAGTTACTGTGCTGTGCATGTTTTTGTGAAATGACTGTATTATTGTGAGCAGTCGTGGGGGACAACCTATTCTTTGCAGGATACTGAAAAGGCCACTTCGACTTACCAAGTCAAATGCCTTGGTCAGGTCTATGAAGGCAATATAAAGAGTCCTATGCTGTTCGCGACATTTCTCCACCATCAAAAAGTGTAATTCGACGCAATAAAAAAGGGAAATTGATTAACACCACCAAGGAGTGGAAATTTAATAGCATCATATAAAGTGGAAATGATTGAAACCATCAAAAAGTGGAAATTTATTGACACCTCTACAATTTTTTTCGAATCTTCATCTTTACTCTCATATTTAAATTTGTTAAATAATATCAAAACATATTACGTCATAGAATATCAATGGAAGGTCCACCAAAATTTTACGAATTAATGCGATGTATTGAGATCAAACTGGAAAAATGGTACTTGCAGACTGACATCAAACAGATTGGAGGACATAATCGTAAGCGCAGTCATGAAGCATCTTGGAAGCCACAATTATATTTAACGACTGTCACCATGGCTTCTGAGTCAACAGATATTTTGGGACGCAGCTCCTTGATTTTGCATTAGACTTGATGTCCAATCTGGAGAACAGCAAGCAAACTGACGTCCTGGTGATGAGATGGACTTCTCAAAGGCAGTTGACCGTGTCAATCATAGTTTGCAAAATTCAGAGATATGGGATCCGAGGCACCACTAAAACATGGATCGCTAGCTTCCTCGGCAACCGATGCCAGGCAGTAGTGGTGGATGGTACAAGCTACTCCTTCCCTTTGGTTTAATCAGGGGTCCCCCAGGGTCGGGGCTAGGCCCCTGTTTGTTCCTAGCATATATTAATGAATGACCTACTCGATAAACTGACATCCCAAACAAGACTGTTCGCAGACGACACAGCGGTGTACATGACGATCGCCAACAGTTCTGACCAGGATCAGCCACAACATGATCTCAATCGGCTCGTTGAGTGGGAGATGAGCTGGGACATGGAATTTCATCCTGCCAAGTGCCAGCCACTGTCAATCTCTAGAAGCAGATCCCCTCCACACCACCATTACGAACTGCGTGGATATATGCTTGAGCCAGTTTCCTCAGTAAGGTACATCGGTGTTACCATCCAAAGAGTTGTCCGGTGGGACAAGTGTGTAAACAATGTGTGCAACCAGGCAAACAAGACCCTAGGGTTCTTAAAGCGAAATTTAAAGAGTGGCACTCCAGTGTGAAATAAAAAGTCTATAAAGCATTTGTTCTGCCACTTTTAGACTACGCATTTCCAGTTTGGGACCCATTCACCCAGAGGAGTATCGACAGGTTGGAAGCCATCCAACGACGGGCAACACGCGCTGTCCTAAACCGCTAGAAGAACACTTCTAGTGTTGGCAGCATGCTGGAACCACTGGGCTGGTCACTATTGGAGGAACGAAGGCTCTCCATGATGTATAAGATAAACAAAGGGCTGGTCCACTGCTTCAGCATCAAACAAAAACTCGCCCCCCCCCCCCCCCCCCCACAGACAGCAACGAGGGCATGACAGGCAGTTCCGGCTGATAACAGCAAGAACACAGTACAGGAACTGCTCAATCCTGCCAGTGACTATCAGGGACTGGAATAAGCTTCCAAAAGGAATAGTTGAGGCGACAATACTTGACAGATTTGCGTCTATTGCCTCAGGCCTTCCCACCCCTAGTTCCCGACACCCTCGCCGTGTAGCCCCTGCAACCAGTGACATATCGTCTTAAATTCAAGGCACAGAAACATTGCGAATCCCCTCTACATACATATGAGCCAGAATGATCAATACATTGATCGTGGGCCCTTAATAAATAGAAAAAGAAGACTGTTAAAAAGATAACGCAAACTGACATCAAACTGGCTGGAAAAAGAACCAAGACTGACATTAAAACTGACTTGAAAAACAGCCCAAACTGGCTGGAAAAAGAACCAAGACTGACATTAAGACTGACATTAAAACTGACTTGAAAAACAGCCCAAACTGGTTGGAAAAAGAATCCAGATTGGCAGCAAACTGACTGGGAAAAGAACTCTTCATCAAACTGACTGGGGAAAAAAACCAGACTGGCATCAAACTGACTGGGAAAAGAACTCTTCATCAAACTGACTGGGGAAAAAAAACAGACTGGCATCAAAGTGACTGGGAAAAAAGTACCAACAGAGTTAAAAAATGAAGGAGATTAAAAACACTGTCAATCATTTAATTTCTGTTGCCTGTTATTGAGACCGAGAAGATAAGGTCACTATTAATTTTCTAACTGTTTTACACAGCCGTTACAATTTATAGTTAAAAAATTCCCAATATACCATAATCTGTTGAAACACTTTGAAATGGTATCATTGAATTTTGCTATGTCATGTAACAAAAAAAAAAAAAAAACCAAAACAAAACAAAAAAATTGGGTGAGAGGGTGAAGAGGGAAAGAGGGATTTCACAAGCATCATTGATATTTCTGTTAATAGAAAGCAAAAGTACTAATCATCAGCCGTTACAATTTATAGTTAAAAAATTCCCAATATACCATAATCTGTTGAAACACTTTGAAATGGTATCATTTAATTTTGCTATGTCATGTAAAAAAAAAAAAAAAAAACCAAAACAAAACAAAAAAATTGGGTGAGAGGGTGAAGAGGGAAAGAGGGATTTCACAAGCATCATTGATATTTCTGTTAATAGAAAGCAAAAGTACTAATCATAAAAAACGAGTGGTTTTTATTTATGGGGGGGGGGGGCAAAAATGTGGCCGTGAACATTGGTTATTTGTAATCGACAATGTTAAAGTTTTACTCTCGCTGATTTAAATAAAATTAATAAAATTATTAAAATCGTATAAAAGTCCTTCCTCCCCCCCCCCCCCCCCAAAAAAAAGAAACGACCCCCCCCCCCCCACAAAAAAGGGAACCGACCCCCCCCCCCCCGTGACGCACATCGTGGTTTAGGAACCTTGACCTTACTTTAGATCTGTTTGCTCAGTGCATGGGTTGGATGTGTTTAAGCTTAAACCTGGTAAGGCAAACACACGGGTGTTTAAAATAGCCCCAAAATGTAGACGTGGAATCATGGGAGGTCTACCCGTTGGCCAATAGAACACCACGCACCCTTTCCACCCCCAATCCGGGAGGGGGGGGGGAGGGAAACTTGTAGTAATGTAAGGCCGCGGATTTGGTTAGTGTGGAAAGTGCAGTGGACTGCGATGATTCTCATCGGTTGCATTCATCTGTCACACGGGTGTTTAAAATAGCCCCAAAATGTAGACGTGGAATCATGGGAGGTCTACCCGTTGGCCAATAGAACACCACGCACCCTTTCCCCCCCCAATCCGGGAGGGGGGGGGGAGGGAAACTTGTAGTAATGTAAGGCCGAGGATTTGGTTAGTGTGGAAAGTGCAGTGGACTGCGATGATTCTCATCTGTTGCATTCATCTGCTTCATAAAGGAAAGTAATCACTTGTTGAGTTTTTCTGAAATAATGTTCAAGTCCCACCTAAACATAAAAAACAAACCTCCTATCAGATATTTTGTAAAAGCTTTTTTTTCAGTTGACCGGTAAAATGTCTTTTTTTTTTTTTAATAATGTTATTTTGGTGGCTCTCATTTAGTTGAGAACCGCTGATTTTAATTAAAGAGAAACCTGCCCCCCCCCCCCCCCCCCTTTTTTTTTTTTTTCCCGAAGACTATCTCCAGAACTACTGTACTATAAAATATATCTTAGGAAACTCTATGGTGAGAGCCCATTGCATGCTTGGATATCTTTTGGGTACGGCTTAGACTACGGGAAGGCATAGCATCACACATCAGGTAGGTTCTTGTTGTGATATACTTGGTGGCGGCGTTCATGTTTAGTTTAATGGTATCATGTGTGGCTTTATGTCAGCAAAATTAAGTAGCGTCGAGACGAGGTCAACGCCATCGATTAGATGGTCAAACACTTGGTGCATAGATAGATGAGCAGCGCATTCAGTAGTGGTAGACGGCTGATGTTTGTATACACGTTCAATTGGTGCTCAAGGGCCATTGGTGTTGAAGGCTCATAGGTGTCCAATGATATAATTGGTGTAAATGGCTCATTGATGTACAAGACTCACTGGTGTACAAGACTCATTTATGTACAAGACTCATTATATATTTTTTTTTAAATCAGTAATTAATGATAAAACCGTAACTGTATTTATAGATGTCTTACTCTGTTTATTTTATGAAGTAAAAAACAACAACCACTTTACAGTAAGCACTCCAAACAGACTCTTCCAACTAAACCAATGACATTTTTTTTGTAGTGTTTAAAATGCAAGGTCTAAGAATGGGGACGTTAAATTTATGACTCTATGACCATTATTAAGAAAGTCTAAGACAGTATAAAATATTTAAAAAAGGTAGTTTGACCCGTGAAGTCCTGGGAAGTGACCAGAGCGCAGGTTTCCAGACCATAGGAGGGTGACCTAAAACTGGGAAGTGACCAGAGCGCAGGTTTCCAGACCATAGGAGGGTGACCTAAAACTGGGTTTGCGGAGTGATATGTCTGGGGTCGTCGGCCTGAAATAATAAACTAGAAAAATGTAATTCTAAAAAATGATGTCTTGATGTTTGAGTTACAATTTAAAACATAGTATTAAATATGTCACCAATGACATGACATTAACTATGTCACCAATGACATGACATTAAATATGTCGCCAATAACATGACATTGAATATGTCGCCAATGACATGACATTAAATATGTCGCCAATAACATGACATTGAATATGTCGCCAATAACATAACATTAAATATGTCGCGAATAACATGACATTAAATATGTCGCGAATAACATGACATTAAATATGTTGCCAATAACATGACATTGAATATGTCGTGAATAACATGACATTAAATATGTCGTGAATAACATGACATTAAATATGTCGCCAATAACATGACATTAAATATGACGCCAATGACATGACATTAAATATGTCGCCAATAACATGACATTAAATATGCCGCGAATAACATGACATTAAATATGTCACCAATAAAATGACATTAAATATGTCGCCAATAACATGACATTAAATATGTCGCGAATAACATGACATTAAATATGTCACCAATAAAATGACATTAATTAGTCACCAATAAAATGACATTAAATATGTCGCGAATAACATTACATTGAATATGTCACCAATAACATGACATTAAATATGTCACCAAAAGCATGAAATTAAAAATGTTGCAAATAACATGACATGAAATATGTCGCCAATGACATGACATGAAATATGTCGCCAATCACATGACATGAAATATGTCGCCAATAACATGACATTAAAGATCCCGGGAGAGAAAAACCTAGATAGAATCTACTTGCTCGGCGGAGAACTGAAACCTTTTATAAAGGAATGTGTTAAATATCTAGAATACATCATCTGATAAAATTGTAAACATTTGTAATTCTAAGATAATTATGCTGCATTAATCAATGCATACTATCATTTGTTTAGGGTAAGCTCAAGACGATGGAGAAACTGAGTTTGTTAGGTCGTGTTGCCATAGTAACAGGTAATTTATTTATTTTTATTCGCTGCGACTATTCGTAGCCGGGTACCAGAAGTGAGGGGTTGGGATTAAAAAAAAAAAACTATTTCAAATATTATTGTTGGGTTTGTAAGACAAAATGTGGTATCAAATGAAAGATAATTGAATGGAATATCTGTTTGTAAACTTACTTGTTCAGTTTAAATAAAATAATCTACCACAAATGACATCCGACCGAACAGCATTGAGTCTAATGGGATCGTGTCCGAATGTTCGGATCCATTTTGACTAAATGCTCATCGGATTTCATTTGAGGTAGTTTATTTTAGTTAAACAATTGTTGATTTTTGTTTTTTAGTATTTAAAAAAAAAAAACACGAAAAAATAAAGATTTTCATTGAACTACGATTATAGATATAGAATTCAGTAGGCTTACTCTTTATTTAAAAATTACTTCATTTTATCTGATAACATAGGCTATATATTTGATTTCCTAGACAATGTTTTTTTTTTTTTGTTGTTTTTCTTTTGTGGAAATTCAAGATACATGGCACGCTCTGCTTAGCATTGATAACATATGCCTTGCATCACGATCTGAATTAGCTCAGATTTCATATCCGAATTTTAATGTAATTTTTTTTTTTTTTTAAGTAGACCCTACTTTTTTTAAAAACATTATTTGTAGGTAGCAGCTCTGGCATGGGGGAGGCAACTGCAGTTTTGTTAGCCAGGCGGGGGGCAAGAGTTACCCTCCACGGCCGTTTTTTTTTTTTTGTTTTTTTTCTTTTTTGGATATTCAATATACATGGCATGTTTTTCTTAGCATTTATAATATTTTCTTTGTATAAAGATATAAATTAGCTTAGATTTTATATCCGAATTTTAATGTAATTTTTTTTTTTTTTTTAAGTAGACCCTACTTTTTTTAAAAACATTATTTGTAGGTAGCAGCTCTGGCATGGGGGAGGCAACTGCAGTTTTGTTAGCCAGGCGAGGGGCAAGAGTTACCCTCCACGGCAGAGATCTGAAGAAACTTGACGCCGTCCAACAAAAGATCATTGCAGGGGGAGCTAAGCCTGATGACGTACGGTTTGACGATAACACCGTTTTACTTTTATTCACATCCATTGGGTCCTAAAGAAATTGATCTCAGACTTTCACCGTGGGACTTTTGTGTGTGTGTGTGTGTGTTTGGTTTTTTTTTGTTTGTTTTTTTTTTTGTGTTTTTTTGGGGAGGAAGGTTGGAAAATAAAAAAAAAAAAAAAACTTAAAGGGATAAAACAAAATACCATCTAAAAATTCAGTATTTATGGGTAAAAATGCAGAGTTAGATTTTTTTCTCTCTCCAGTTACTTAAGTGTTAAATGCAGTTCCAATGAAATAAAGCACAAACTAGAAACACGCTCAAGAAACAACACACCTTGGATTCTAAATTTGTTTAAGAAAAAGACTAGTCACATCGCTAACATTATTATTATTTTTTTTTTAATTCTTTGTTTAAAATAATAGGACAAAAGATTACAAAAGAGCAAAAAAAGGTGGAGTATCTTCTTCTTCAAATAATGGTATAATTATCTGGCATACTTTTTTTAAATACAAACCATAGACTGAAAGGTAAATTATTGTTTCAAAATCTGTTTTGTAAGACCGTATTTATTTACGATACATATTTTATAATTATTGTACACATTTGTCGTTTTTCAAATACTTGGTCCTCATCAGTGTCTTTCTTTCCTCCAGACTCTAGTTGTCTCCGGTGACACCAGTGCCTCTCTTTCCTCCAGACTCTAGTTGTCTCCGGTGACACCAGTGCCTCTCTTTCCTCCAGACTCTAGCTGTCTCCGGTGACATCAGTGCCTCTCTTTCCTCCAGACTCACTTTGTCTCCGCTGACACCAGTGCCTCTCTTTCCTCCAGACTCTCGTTGTCTCCGGTGACATCAGTGACCCCAACGTCAGGCAGAAACTGGTCAGTGAGACGGTCAAGAAATTTGGCAGGCTGGACATTCTGGTCAACAACGCCGGGTTCGGTCATCACGCCTTCATTAGGGACCTCAAGGAGAAGGAGGTGGACGACTGCTTCAACGGTTTATTCAAAGCTCCCGTCTTTATGTGCCAGGCTGCACTGCCATATCTGCTCAAGACAAAAGGTGAGAATCTGCTCATAACCATCAGAGAATCTACTCAATAGAAAACGTTCGGCTAACGCATCGCATATTTGCATGTGCATGTGCATGTTTAATGAGTGTATGCAGAACCATCGCGTTTTTTATGCCTTTCTGTCACTCTTCGCTTGTGCCCCATATGTATTCCAAATTGATATTTTAAATATTGTGTCCACATCACAATTTTTGGCCCCCTAAAGATTCATAACACTCCAGGTCGCCATCCATAACTCATGTCCTTGTCCTGGCATCGGTAGAAATTCGAAACCATCCGTCCGCTTTTTTTGTTTTCGTTTGTTAGTTGACCTTCGTAACTTTAGCATTTTGTGGACATGACACCAAAAAAACAGTTCCCATTTAGGTTCCACCGAGATTTGAACTCGGATCGCAGGATTCAGAGTCCTGACAGCTAACCATTACACCATGGAACCTGATATTTGCGCGACAACCATAATTTATTTAAAATCACATTTACTGGTAGATCTCTCTGTGAAGTATTTGAAGTAAGTGAAGTAAATTCTCTATTTGTAAGGGGGGGGGGAATGTTTTTCTCTTTCTGTGAAATTAAGTTTTCGAATTTCTTTCGTTTCTTTTGTTTTCATAGGAAACATCGTGAATGTGTCTTCAGGCTTGACGAGTGAACCAGTGAGTTACAGGTTTATTGGTTAGAATGTATTACGGTACATCTTTAGCACTGACATGACACGACGAGTGAGCCAGTGAGTTACAGGTTTATTGGTTACAATGTATTACGGTACATCTTTGGCACTGACATGACACGACGAGTGAGTCAGTGAGTTACAGGTTTATTGGTTACAATGTATTACGGCACATCTTTGGCACTGACATGACACGACGAGTGAGCCAGTGAGTTACAGGTTTATTGGTTACAATGTATTACGGTACATCTTTGGCACTGACATGACACGACGAGTGAGCCAGTGAGTTACAGGTTTATTGGTTACAATGTATTACGGCACATCTTTGGCACTGACATGACACGACGAGTGAGCCAGTGAGTTACAGGTTTATTGGTTACAATGTATTACGGTACATCTTTGGCACTGACATGACACGACGAGTGAGCCAGTGAGTTACAGGTTTATTGGTTACAATGTATTACGGCACATCTTTGGCACTGACATGACACGACGAGTGAGCCAGTGAGTTACAGGTTTATTGGTTACAATGTATTACGGTACATCTTTGGCACTGACATGACACGAGTTCTATTATTGTAATGATAATTAGTCCCTAATTATAAAAATGTTTATAATTGAAATGATTTAGCCTATACCTAAAGCGAAGGCTAATTAATCGAATATAGAGAAATTCTCACCAAAACCAATAACATTTTATACAGGAATATTTAACTTTATTAACTTACTAAAGACTATATTATATGACTATAAAAAAAAAAACAATATGTGAACAAATTTATTTCACAAAATATTGAATATTGTGTTACACAAAACATCAGCACTTTTAAAAAGAAAACCACAATAAACAATAACAAACCCGTAATTTCTATTGACACATTTATCCATCCAGTGAAATAAGAACACACTATTTAATAATGGTAGGCACAACAGGTCACCAATACGTGCTCTATTTTGATTGCAGTATCCTGGTCTCTTCGCCTACGGCGCCGCTAAGGCAGCACTGGACTACTTTTCCAAGTGTGCCGCACTCGGTAGGTAGGATGACAGCAGGAAATTATAGTCCCTTACAGGACAAGATATTTTTTAGATATTTGAACAGAAACTAAGCAATCCCCTAAAACAAAGTTTTTCGTATAGATCCATGATAAACCAATGTAGGTTAACATTGAGCAATGGGAGGAGGGACTTAAAATGTAACAGGACACGCATTGAAGTAACTCACTCTATAAGAATCCTAAATAGTGCTCTCTCCCTTCCCCCCCTCCGCCCCCCCACTCAAATGCTCACGATTGCATTTTTTTCCCACGCCCATGAACTCTATTAATATTAACCACTTCTGTAAAACAAAAGAAATTGTTACGCACCAAACGGACTTGCGATACTTTTAAGAATCTCGTTTAGCGCAGTTATCGAGAATTTAATTTTCGTGAAATCAGTGACATCTGGTTGCCTTGAAACTGATTTTGGGGCGTTAGGGGGGGGGGGTGGGACTGACAATTTGAAAGAATGTGTTGTCATGGGCATCGGGTCTACGTGCCAAGTTTCAGCTCGATAGGATGACGGGAAGTGGGTCAATTAACCATCTGAAGATTATGCCTTAAAGAAACACACGAACGAAAGCGAATTTAATGTAAAGGATTAAGAACAATGGATTAGTAACGTGTGATAGATACGATAAGGTTTGTCTCTAACTCTAATCAATGTTGATCATTTTCTTTGACAATTTCAGAGTTTGGCAAATCTGGTATCCGGGTGAACACTGTCAAGTAAGTGCTGCTTTTAAATAGTAAACAATTCAATAAAAAAAATTATAAAAGTGTGTGTGGGGGGGTGGGGTAAATTTCCTAATGCTCTGCTCCAGGGGTCCTCAAACTAAGGCCCGCGAGCCAGGTGTGGCACGCCAAGAGACCTTAACGCAGACCGCCTGGCTGTCGTACGGGTACCCATGTTGACGTGACAAATAAATATGGATCCTAACAACAACCATCTCGTTAGTCCATCGCAGGCCCCGTTCCAACCATTGAATGTGAAGAAGTCAATGTTGATTAGAGTTGCTCTTCATTTTAAAATGGGGTTTTTTGTAGTTTTTTTTTCTTTTTTTCTTGTTTTTTTTTGTAATTTTTTTTTTTTTTTTTTGTTTTTTTTTTTTTTTGTTGTTTTTTTTTCTTTAAAATTTTTTTTTTTTTTTTTTTTTTTTTTTTTTTTTTTTTTTTTTTTTTTTTTGGTTTTTTTGTTGTTTTTTTTTTTTTTCCTCTTAAAAATTATTTTTTTTTTTTTCAAACTCTAGTCGGGCTCCCAACCGTGACTGAGGGACAGTGAAGTGGGCCATGTTTAAGTAATGGCAATCTCTCAGAACATAATTTGTCTCTTGATAGATTTATAGATTTATTTATTTTGATGTGATGATATTTTCACCCCCACCACCGCCCTACCACCCCTTCCCCCAAATTGTTGTCTTCTTCTTTCAATTTTTTAGGTAAATGTGTTTACATACACTCCGCTAAATAGTTTAGTTGTTCTTAACTAGATTTCTGAGCGTCTCAATTAAAAAGATTACGTGTTGGCAAATGGAAACCAAAAAATGTCAGGCAATTTAGATTTAATTTACTAGTCTATCGAGGTATTTAGCGAATGTAAGCATTTAAAAAAAATAAATAAATTGTTAAATCCATGTGTTTTGACGAAGTTGCCATCCTCCATCAGCCCAGGGGTCATCGCCACGCCCATCTACACCACATTCACAGACGCCCCAGACAAGAAGGACGCAGTCGGCAATGTAAGCTGAATGAGAAATCACCATCATCGCTCATGGTGTGACAATCATACCTCATGGTGTGACAATCATCCCTCATGGTGTGACAATCATTGCTCATGTTGTGACAATCATCACCCATGTTGTGAAAATCATCACTCATGTTGTGACAATCATCACTCATGATGTGATAATCATCATTCAATCATTCATGGTGTGGCAATCATCACTCATGTTGTGACAATCTTCATTCATGCTTTTAAAAAAAACATCATACTTTTCACGTGGCTTCATATCCTTGTGAGCGCTGCCTCCCCCCACCCCTTTCCAACCCCTACGCCCTTTCCCAACAGCCTACTGCATAGTGTGGTTTCTTCACTTGCACCGACTATTTTCCATTCTGTGGGTCTCTGTCTTTTATAATCTTTACACGACACATAGAGGTTTCCTTTGGAGGCTCAGACTGACATATTTATGTATTGTTAAAAAAAATGGTGTTATGCAAATAGATACAATTCTATTTTAAGCGATAATAGCTTTTAAATAACGGAACGTGTTTTAATGTCTCCAAGCGGATTTTAGTGGCTTCTTATATTTACTGATAATGCTAACATAGACAATTGACAAGGATGTTGTCTCTTCTTGAACCAGCTCCTCGCGCACCATGAGCGTAAGACCATCCTGGGACGTAATGGGCAACCCGAGGAGATAGCAGAAACCATCGCCTTCCTGGTGTCCGACGCTGGGAGTTTTATCACAGCTGGCGAGGTCATAGCTGACGGTGGGCGCCATATTTACTTCCACAGCGGGGAGCCGGCACAGATGCCCAAGTACGATGACCTGGTGGGCACAGATGCCCAAGTACGATGACCTTGTGGCTAAATGAAACCGGATGCCATGACAATGACATTGTACTTTCAATGTCATAACCCTTAACATGTACTCATTTTTTTACAATTGAAATTTATTCGCTATTAGTCACTATCTCGATATCTTTTGGATACATAATACATATATGTTATTGATGTATCTCAATGTCTGTTGTCTACATAGTTAACATATTCGCATTTTTATCATTTCTTTAATGCATTCGATTAGAAAGAGGTCTTTGATTTCCTTAGGGAAGTATTTCCCAACCCACTCTTTAACCAGTTAATTTTGTGATTTCAAGACAAAAAGATTACGTTTTGTGAAAAATAAACACAAGTACAACTTTATAAATATTTATAATTAAGGTTCACGTTTTCTATACTGGAATAGTAATAAATGAGATGATCCATTAAGTAGTGGTATCCGCTTGTTTTTAACTTGTGTTTTTTACAAGTACCCATAAATTCTAGAGACTAGTGACTTCATTTCTAGAGTTGTACAAACCATCATTAAGATCTTGATTTGAAAGTCCTTATGTATGTGTCCATCTGTTATTACAAAAAAATTCATTAATATCTTGATTTGAAAGTCCTTATTTATGTGTCCATCTGTTATTACAAAAAAATTCATTAATATCTTGATTTGAAAGTCCTTATTTATGTGTCCATCTGTTATTACAAAAAAATTCATTAATATCTTGATTTGAAAGTCCTTATTTATGTGTCCATCTGTTATTACAAAAAATAAAAAAAATTTTTTTTTTAATTCTTTGAATTTAAAAGGCTGTAAGAGTGAATAAATCAGGAGCTATTTTTAACAAAAACTGATGATTTAATTTTTTTTAAATAGTTATTACAACGATATTGAAATTAAACATAAATTTTATTTTGACAAATAGGTTTCCTTTTATTATTTTACTCTACAATTTTCTAAAAAAAATGGTATGAATGGTATTGAAGATGTATGATGGTTTTTGAAGACGGTTAAGTGGTTCTTTAAGATGTGTGATTGCTTTGAAGATGTATAATGCTTTATTGAAGATGATATAAATGGTTTTTGAATATGCTATGATGGTTTTTGAAGATGGTATGATGGTTCTTAAAGATGTGTAATGTTTTTGCAGAAGCTATGATATTTTTAAATATGTTAAAATGTTTTATGAAAAAAATGGAATGAAGTCTTTGAAAATGGGATGATGGTTTTTGAAGATTGTTTGATGGTTTTTGCAGAAGGTATGATTTTTTAAAGATGCTAGATTGATTTTGAAGATGGTAATGAGAATTGTAGAAGATGTATGATGGTTGTTGAAGATGGTATGACGTTTTTGAAAATGGTATGATGGTTTCTGAAGATTTGTGATGCTTTTTGAAGATGGTATGATAGTTTTTGAGGATGGCATGATGTTTTGAAGATGTATGATGGGTTTTGAAGATGGCATGAAGATATATGAGGTTTTTTTAATAGATGGTATGAAGTATTTGAAGGTGATATAAAAGTTTCTGAGGGTATGATGGTTGTTGCAGAAGGTATAATTTGTTTAAGATGTGTGATGATTTTTGAAATAGTATGATGGATTTTGAAGATTGTATGAAGTTTGTGAAGATGGTATGATGGTTTTTGAAAATGGTATGATGATTTATGAAGAAGATGTGATGTTTGGAGATAGTATGATGGATTTTGAAGATGCTGTGATCGTTTTTTGTTTTTTTAAATATATAATAGTCTTTTGAAGAAGGTGCGATTTAGTGAAGCTGGTATAATGTTTTTTGCAGAAAGTATGATGTTTTTGAAGATGGTATGATGTTTTTAAAGATGTATGACGCATTTTGAAGATGGCATGACAGTTTTTGAAGATGGTATGGCGATTTTTGAAGATGAATGATGGGATTTGAAAATAGTATGATGGTCTTTGAAGATGGCCTGATCGTTTTTTTTTTGAAGATGGCATAACAGCTAAACACTTTTTTTTTTAATCTGTTGATTTTTAGAAGCGGAAGAGGGTGTGCAATTGACTCTAACTAAAATGTAGGTGACACCCATCTGGAAGATTTTTAAAATCTTAATACCCCAAATAGCCACACTACACCATTTAATCTCGAAAACCGCTGTTCGCAAACCTTTTTGATGAAATCACAGAAATCTCGGTATAATCCCGATTGTGTTCAGAGATGTGTGTAGGAGCCATCCCCGTAGAGCTCTCATCGGTGAGCCATACAAACCTTATATTAGATTCTTTGTTTATCGCTGGTCATGACGTTCATGTTTAGAATTCATGCATGCCAATTCTGATTTTACATTATACGATATACGCATTTCAAAGACTAGGTCAGGATTTTTAAAAAAATAGTATACGAACGCAAAATTCCGAGAACACAGCTCTGCATTGTGGTCCATACATATTGACACATACGAGTGGTCGGTGTGCAAAGCTTATTGGTGCACAAGGAATAATGGTGTAGAAGGCGTATTGGTGCACAAGGCTTATCGGTGCACAAGGCTTATTGCCTGTACAAGGCGTTTTTTTTTTTTTTTTTGGTGTAGAAAGCGTATTGACTTACACGGCTTAGTAGGATACACGGCCTACCTATTGGTGTGTATTGGTGCACAAGGCTTATCGGTGCACAAGGCTTATTGCCTGTACAAGGCGTTTTTTTTTTTTTTTGGTGTAGAAAGCGTATTGACTTACACGGCTTAGTAGGATACACGGCCTACCTATTGGTGTGCAGGGGTCTTTGTTGTACAAAGCACACGGCGTAGTAAGATACGCGGCCTATGGTGTACAAGGGTCTTTGTAGTGCAAAGCACATGGCTTAGTAGGATACACGGCCTATTGGTGTACAAGGGTCTTTTTTGTACAAAGCACACGGCTTAGTAGGATACACGGCCTATTGGTGTGCAAGGGTCTTTGTTGTACAAAGCACACGGCTTAGTAGATACACTACCTCTTGGTGTACAAGGGTCTTTGTTGTACAAAGCCCGTTGATGCACTCGAAGTAAATAGTCGAACGAAAGATATGCTTAGGCTTCAAATGAAAAGAAAGGACAATCAAAAGGACGTTTGGATAGATGCCTTCGTCAGCAGACAGGACAAAACGTGAAATTACAGATGATAAGAATTAAAATTTAAAAAAAAAAGACTGTGATAGAAAATCGTCATGACGTCAATGTAGCAATCTGTTTACAACCGGAAGTGCTCTAAACATATCATCCTTAGTGAGCACAGCTAATTGGCGTTGATTTATTCTTATTGGTGTTGATTCATTCCTACTGGTGTTGATGCCTTCTTACTGGTGTTGATTCCTTCTTACTGGTGTTGATTCATTCTTATTGGTGTCCATGAAGATTTCATGTTAAAAGGCGTAATCAACTTCTAACATCTCATTACTTGGCCGGATTTTGTATACTTTTGATGTCTGCTGGAAACATTGTGTGGAGTAATTGAACTTCTAATTTAGAATGGCTTTTTTTTTTTTTGGGGGGGGGGGGGAAGGGCGTTTTTTAGTAGACATAATTAAAGGCCCCCCCCCCCTCCCTATCCCCCCTTACCCAACCAAAATTAAAAATTACCCAAAACTATGTTGCTACCATTGTGCACGGTCTGCCCCCGTTGCCCATCGTCCCAGGCTTGTGTAACTATGACACCGTGTCACGTAGCTACATGCTATAATGTTATTGTTCCATTATATCACTGCAATGCATGGCCATTATAAGTCTAGTTATATATCACGACGTCCTGGACGCCCCCGGTGGTCTGGTGTTATTTATTTCATCGGCGGGTCAAACATTTCACGCATCATAGCTGTTCCTTGGTGGCTTGTGTGTCATGCAAGTTGATAGTTTGACCTCATCCGTTTTCAACCTGTAAGGGGTCTAATCATGTTTTTTTGTTTTGTTTTGTTGTTTTTTTTTGTCAGTTGATTATAGTGGACGGGGACACGTCACACACATGTTTGGGTCAAGTGTGTTATCTTAAAAGACGGACCAGCAAAGCCGTTCGAGTGTTGAATGCGATGATAAGTACAAAGTGTGTCCTCAAGATGGTATCAAGATGCTCTCAAATTGGTGCTAAGACATCTGTGTTAGGTATCGCGCTATCGCATCGCGTGATGCGTTATCAGTAAATGAACACCTGTTGTATATATATATATATAAAAACTCAGATCAGATACTGATTCGCACCGTACGCACCGTTTAAATAAAAAATATATTTACGATTGATATATCAGAATAGAGAGTTGTCCCAGCAAGGAATTCCAAAACTTTTCTTTTTTTTCTGTAGCGACAGGTACGACTCAAACCTATGGAGAAACTTTCGTTGTTAGATCGAGTTGCCATAGTAACAGGTGAGTTCAGAGAAGTGTTTAGAAACGAGTGGAACGAAACGTATAAATGTAAACACTGCTTGTGTGAGGAGAGAGAGAGATCATTCGATTCACGTATAAATTTAAACACTGCTTGTGTGAGGAGAGAGAGAGAGATCATTCGATTCACGTATAAATGTAAACACTGCTTGTGTGAGGAGAGAGATCATTCGATTCACGTATAAATTTAAACACTGCTTGTGTGAGGAGAGAGAGAGATCATTCGATTCACGTATAAATGTAAACACTGCTTGTGTGAGGAGAGAGAGAGAGATCATTCGATTCACGTATAAATGTAAACACTGCTTGTGTGAGGAGAGAGAGAGATCATTCGATTCACGTATAAATGTAAACACTGCTTGTGTGAGGAAAGAGAGATCATTCGATTCACGTATAAATGTAAACACTGCTTGTGTGAGGAGAGAGATCATTCGATTCACGTATAAATGTAAACACTGCTTGTGTGAGGAGAGAGAGAGAGAGATCATTCGATTCACGTATAAATGTAAACACTGCTTGTGTGAGGAGAGAGAGAGAGCGATCATTCTATTCACGTATAAATGTAAACACTGCTTGTGTGAGGAGAGAGATCATTCGATTCACGTATAAATGTAAACACTGCTTGTGTGAGGAGAGAGATCATTCGATTCACGTATAAATGTAAACACTGCTTGTGTGAGGAGAGAGAGATCATTCGATTCACGTATAAATGTAAACACTGCTTGTGTGAGGAGAGAGAGATCATTCGATTCACGTATAAATGTAAACACTGCTTGTGTGAGGAGAGAGATCATTCGATTCACGTATAAATGTAAACACTGCTTGTGTGAGGAGAGAGATCATTCGATTCACGTATATGTGTAAACACTGCTTGTGTGAGGAGAGAGATCATTCGATTCACGTATATGTGTAAACACTGCTTGTGTGAGGAGAGAGATCATTCGATTCACGTATATGTTTAAATGATTTCTAATTTTTAAAAGTGTATTTGTTATGGTTATATGTCTCCCTTTGCACACACCGAGACACGTTTAAAGGTAAACGAGATGGATATAAAGCATCTACTTCCGGTTCTTAAGTATATTGCTGCTGTAGAGATATTTTTAAAAAAAAATGTAGTGTATGACTGCCATTGAAACAAACATTTATTGATGAGTAAAATTTTACAAGTTATAATTCTCGGTGGTGTCCTTTGTGAATGGAATCTGTTCTAGAAATTTTAAAAAGAAGAAATAAGTACATAAAAAAAACTATTTGCATAATAAGTTGCTTTTTTTAAAAAAAAAATTGTATATATA